CACCAGGCAGTTCGCCCCCAGGCAGTTCGCCACCAGGGAGCACCACCAGGCAGTTCGTCACCAAGTAGTTCTCCCCCAGGGAGTTCGCCACCAAGTAGCTCATCACCAAGGCACGTCACCACCGAGTCAAACAACAAGGTACTTAGCCAAAAAATTTATACATCACAAAAAATGGTACGTGACCAAAAACGGTTACATCAAAATCCAATATAAGTAGACCCATTGACCTATGAAACTAAGCCCCCACCACACCATATCTAATAATATTAAAGAAAATCAAGATTAGATCATGTAGAGGGGCACTATCAGAGGAGAGATTGGTCATACTAATAGTGTTAGAAAGGATATGCTATTAAACAAACGGAATGGTAAAACAGGATTCAATTTTGTGGACTGACTGAAGATGGACTTAGAAGCTTTCAAGGATGGAGTTGCGCCAGTCAATTTTCAGTGGTTTGATCACCACCAATGCATAATTTTCATTAGTATCTCTATTTCTGGGGCAGTTCAATGGTAGATTTTATCTTACTACTCTCAGTACTAAAGAATTCACAACTTATTTAAGTTGTCTGATCTACCTAATGACTCTGCTGTATGGTGACTATAATTATAGCAAGTTTTGCTTCCATTTGATGGTATAGTTTGCTGAGGAAAATTATGAAAATGTTATTGATGAACTGAACTGATTATTGTGGTAAAAAGGTTTTAACAAGCTAATGATCCAATTGCAGGCTTCTCTGTTTACACTTAGCTCCTCCCTTGTGCTTGTCTGCATGCTGTTATTGGTCTTGTTTGTTTGACTTTCTATGTTTTGTTTATAAGGAAATTACTTCTGGTTCATTTCATGTGCAGCTTCATAATAATGTTACAATGCTGACTAATGAAGAACTTGAAATGCATTCAATTTCGGCTTGGAAAGAAGGGAAGCTTCAAATTCGTAGAGCATCTGATGTTCCTGTGCAATCACCAATTAGGAGGCCTTTGGTCCAAGTAAGCACTCTCTGTGATAAGATATTCCCTGTGCCCTTTTGGTAGATTATCAACATCCATTCCATTATTTATTTGGATCATATTTATTTATGTCATTACTACTAGTCGATAAACTCATGGTCTGAAGTGCCTATATATAATATTTAAGGTAAATAATCAATAGACTGGATTATATCTGTTCTTGCAAAAAGTTTTTATATTAGAGGTTCATGAGTAGAAAAAAAAATGAATTCATCATCATCCTCATTATCATTATCTGCCACAATCCCTTTCACCTTGTAAGTTCAGTTTCAAGGATTTTATTCCTATGTTCAACTGACATTGTCCATGTCTTTGGTTAAGGAGTGATTCAGTAAACCTTTTCTACTTCCTGAATCCATTTTCTTTTTGGCCCTCATGATATCCCTTCAGAGTGCTGGGCAATAAAGAAAAAACATTGTCAAATAATGAGTATATCTGAGATGAGTATGTTAAGATGCAATTGGCAAGACTAGAAAGGACAGAAGCAGGAATGAGTGCATTAGAGGGTTCTTACGAGTAGTCCCAATATAAGGGAAAAACAGCTGAGGTGGTTGTTCATGTGCACAGATGGCCAATGGCTGCAGCAAGGAGTAATTGGTTCAAATAGAAGTTTCTTAAAAGGCAACATAATCTGAAGTGGTAAAAACAATGATTTAGGTCCTGTTTGGTTCGCGGGAATAGGGTTCTGGAATCAGAATTGGAATGGGCCATTCCGATTCCAACTGTTTGGTTGGGTAGAATTGGTATCCCATTCCCATTCCCAGTGGCATGGCATTTCCCCATTTGAGGGAATGGCCATTCTCTCCCCCTCCTTTGGGAATGAAATCCCACTCCAGCTGATTTCAATTCCGATTCTGATTCCTGTCTGAACCAAACAGACTATGGTAATAGGCCATTCCAAGGGATTCTGATTCCATTTTTTTGATAAATAACATCAATTCCATTAAAATAATGAATAGATACAAGAAGATCCCCTTAGAGGCGCGAGGAGCAGCCTCTCCAAACAGCAAATACACAAACTACAACAGAGAAAACAAGAATGTTGAAATTAAAACAATAGTTACAATTGTGC